GAGATTACTTCATGGTTTCAGTCACGAGTAACTCTAAGATGGTAATATCTATTGTCCTAAAGTAGAGATGCATGAGATTCCTGACATGAAGTCAGTTGTGCTTTGACCATACTCCAACGTTGTCCGTAATAGGATGACCATAAAGGGTATGATCAGGTATGACATGATTAGTGGGGAAATCTATGTAATCAAAGCTATTTGTTCCTTTCACCTAGTAGTGAAAGCGATATCCCTGGGCCCCTTGATGATTTGGTGCTGACGCTAAATGTATGGCCATACTTAGACTGAATTGATATTGAATTAATTATACAGTCTATTTTAGGTCACCACAAATCTTTATCAAGAAACACAATCTTGAACAAGTTATAGATTGACATTAAACCATGTCTTACGTTCATATGGATATCTAGAACAAAAGGGATATTTGATTACTTACCTAAAGGACTGTTCTCAAAACCATCTGGTATTGATTACAGCGATGTTGTCTTGGATGACACATCCATGCTCACTTTAACGTGACAACATGACCAYTGTCTTGGTCATTGAATTCTGTTGAGAAATGTGCAAGTGGGAGTCTGTTGGAGATATGCCCATTGTCACAACATAATTCACATTGCATGCTCCTATTGGGTCGCATGCAAAGTCCAAATAAGGTGCAAGAATAAAACGTAAGGGACTAAGTTTGTTAAACATCATGTTTGATGGTTTAAATTAGAAACTTATAAAAGATATAAGTCRTCCTTAAAATACTTTGTAAATTGAAGGGTTTAGCTTGCAATTTACCAAAGTTAGAGGGGTTGATTTGAAACTTCGAGAATGCACTCAAGTATGCATGGCATGGGGACTTGTGCCACTTGAGTGGCTCTTTTTTTCTTCTCTTCTTTATGGGTTTGGCCGTACCATACACAGACACACAAGAAAAGTTCTTTTTTTCTCTCTACACACACACTAGTGTGTGTTCTTGGTGTTCTTGAGCCAAACTTGAAGAAGATAGGGGACTCTCTTGCACCTATACTTGGAGCTTTGGGTGTGAACACATAGAGGAACTCTCCTTTTGGGTTCTCCTTGCAAGTGAAGGTCGAAATTCTTTTGTCTATCTCTTGTTATGTTGCTTAATCTATTGTACATTGGATCCTTTTTCTTGTTGCATGTATGTTTTTTTTTGTTATATCCATCCTCCAACAAATGTTTGTTTAACTCATACTTTTAATGTTTGTTTAACTCATACTTGCCATGTTTGTTTAAATCTAATGTTTGTTTGTAATAGAAATTATGAAGTTTGAACATGGATAATTAAATGTTGTTATACTTTAAATGATTCATTTATGTTTGTAAGTATGACGAGTCAAATAAGAAATTATCGAATTTGGACGAATATTGAAGAAACAAAACTCGTTGAAGCTTTACTTACTATGGTAAATACAGGAGCATTTAAAGCCGATAATGGCTTTAAATCGGGTTATTTAACATTTCTTGAACAAGCATTAAAAGAATCTTTGTCGGGCTCCGGGATTTTAGGGAAACCATACATCGAATCAAAGTTAAAAATAATGAAGAAAGACTGGACTGTTGTGCATGACATGATAAGTGGTTCATATACTAGCGGCTTCGGATACGATAGTGTGAAGCATTGTGTCGTTGCGGAAGACCAAGTTTGGGAGTCGTATCTTCAGGTACATGCTTAAAAGAACTTGTTATTTATATTTGCGTAATATATAATCATAGTTATATGTATATTTATGTTATTCTATTATGAAATAGGTCCATAAAGGGGCGGGAAAATGGAAGAACAAACCGTATCCTTTTTATGAGGATCTTTGTATTGTATTCGGAAAAGATCGTGCCACATGAAATAGAGCAAAAGATTTTGTTGAGGCGAAACAGGAGGTGCGTATAGAAGATCAAACACAACACATGAATGACGAGTCCGATGACGTGATGGCAACTAGCAATGTTCAAGGTGGGAATGCAAATATGCAATCTGAAGAAACTTCAAGTACGCGTGGTAAGAAGAGAAAACGTCGAGTAGATCCCATGGCTGGCAGATTTAGTAATGCGATTACTAAACTTGGAGCAACTTTGGAGAAAATGGCGAACAAACTTAACAAGGGGGTCGAACGAGAAGAAGAATTTGATAAGAAACGTTCGATGATCACTTCTGAGATATCAAAAATGCAGACATTTGCCCAACCAGAAAAGTTTAAAGTAATTTCATTGATAAGAGACGATTCCGAAAAGGTAAACATGTTTTGGGATTTGAAAGAAGCGGATAGGGAAGCTTACGTCAATTGGGTTTTAAATGAATGAAAATTTTGGTGGGTAAATGTGTGGTTTTGGAAGAATAGTTTGGTAGTTAAATATCATTTATAAAGTAATGGATTTCTAATCAAATTCCAATCCTGCAAACCAACCTCAGGAATGGATTTTTAAATCCAATCCAATCCAAATCCCTCTTGCAAATCTAAATCTATCAGAAACATTCCTACAAGCCAAATGCATCTTAAAAGTTTTAGTCAAATGCTTTATAGGATAGTATAGATATAGATATATATACACACACCGGACGTACCTTTTCATATTTATATTTACGTGTAGAACGGGGTGAATATTGAACTGTTAAAAAAAGTCATGAAAATGATAGAAACAGCTCCCAGGAATCAGCTATTTTCTGTGATTCTGTAGTGTGATATATATCACTTTTCCAAATCTTGCTTCTTTAGAACCATTTACACAGACAAGCAAGCAAACACATCTGCTCAATAAAAAGAAAAAGAACATGAATCAACAAAAAACCATTCTAGCATCTGTCTTCATGTTTCTGTTATTCAGGTTCTACACTTGTACAGACACCATTACACTCACTCGACCCCTTAAAGATGGTGATATTTTGGTCTCAAGTGGAGAAAATTTTGCACTTGGATTCTTTAGCACCACAAATTCCAGCAACCGTTATTTGGGTATCTGGTATCACAAGGTTTCCGAGCAAACTGTAGTTTGGGTTGCTAACAGAGATAATCCGATCACTAACTCATCCGCTATACTGTCCGTTCACCCATCCGGAAACCTTATTTTGCATGAAAGAGATGATCAAAGGTTTGTTTTCTGGTCATCCAACGTCTCCGGAGTGGCGAATGACGGTTTTTCGGCTCAGTTGTTGGATTCAGGGAACTTAGTGTTGTTTCAAGGCGAAAATAGGCAGGTTTATTCATGGCAAAGCTTTGATTATCCTTCGAATACCCTTCTTCCTGGGATGAAGTTCGGAATGGATCGGAAAACAGGTTTGAAAAGGATGATTACGGCTTGGAAATCTAGTGCGAACCCCGCCATCGGAGAGTATTCATATGCAATGGAATTCCTTGGGTCAACTCAGTTGTTCCTGTACAAAGATATGACGAAAATTTGGCGAACCGGTTCATGGACCGGCCACGGGTGGAGTGGTGTACCAGAGATGACACCCAATTTCATCTTTAATGTTACTTACGTAGACAATAACGATGAGGTTGCAGTAGTTTATCTTATACGTAACTCATCAATTTTCTCCAGATTAGTCGTTAATGAGTCTGGGATCGTAGAAAGGCTAACATGGCACAAGGACAATCGTAGGTGGATCGGGTTCTGGTCTGCTCCAAAAGAGCCGTGTGATGGCTATAGCCATTGCGGTCCTTTTGGCATTTGTGATCCATACAAATCAGGTACTTTCGAATGTGACTGCCTTCCCGGATATGAGCCTCAAGCGCCACAAGACTGGTACTTAAGGGACGGATCCAAAGGCTGCAAGAGAAAGGCCGGGACTGAAATGTGCAAGAACCAAGACGGGTTCGTGGAGCTGGCACGTGCGAAGGTACCCGACACATCTACGGCACGTGTGAACATGAGTCTGGGATTAGAAGCGTGCGAGGAGTTTTGCATAAAAAATTGCACGTGCGAGGGGTATGCAGTTGCTGATATTAGAGAAGGCGGGAGAGGGTGTATAACTTGGTACGGGGACATGATTGATACACGGACGTTTTCAGATGGGGGCCAGTCTTTATATATTCGGGTGGATGGAAAGGAATTAGGTACGCCATAAATTCTCTTGTTTAATGTCATTTTAATCATTGAATATAATTTTTATTTTGCGTAACATAGTTTTCTACATTAATTTTTTTGATATCATAAATATGACATCCGTAACATTTACATAATAAGTTTAATGTGATAATGGATGAAAATACAGCATACTTTTGTTTGGTCTTTTATTTATATAATGTATTTTGATCTAAAATTTTGAACTATCATGGTATCAAACCTAAATTTACAAGTTTATAGGATTCAATTTATAGAATCAAAACATAAAGGGTTCTATCTAAAAGTATTGTTATAAGTTTATAGGACGTTTTTGAACGTTTTAACAAGTTTTTTAGAATATTTTTAATACAAATCGTTTCATTAGCTATTTTATAAGTGTCCTATAAACTCGTCTTTTCATCGAACACGTGTTTTTGTAAGACATTTTTTTTTCAAATATTATCCTATAAAATAGCTAATACGACGCTTTGTATTAAAAGTGTTCTAAAAAATTATTAAGACGCTAAAAAACGTACTATAAACTTATTACAACGCATTTAGATATGACTCATTATCTTTTGGTCATATAAAGCAGTCTATTAGGATGTTTTAAAATTGATAACGTCCTATAAACACGATTTTGTTGTCGTGTCATATATAAGATACCACAATAAAGATTTTCAAAACACGTTATACAAAATTAAAATCAGCTCAAAGTAGGTTGTATTCTCGTACAATTTAATTTAAATATAATTAAATAATATTTAATTTTAGAACTAATATTCCTTTATTCTTATAAAATAAAAATATATATTTATCGGTAGAATTTATAATCCTAATATATTTTTTGTATGTTAGTAATCCTTAGTTGCAATTTATACATATATATTTGATCAACAAGCTATCTATTGAACACTGATTTCAAAATTGTAGGTCAAAAATAATATATTGTTATTAAATATTATTGCGATAGCTGAAATGACGGATTCTCCTGCTATATTACAATACCTCGTTTTTTTCATAGAGCAGCTCTGACTGGATATTTTATGTATCATGAACGACACACTTCAATTATTTATGATGATCCCAAACTTATTTTATGTTTTTGATATAAATTGAATAATATATATATATATATATATATATATATATTAAATCTATAATTACATCAATATTAAAGTTGATGTTAAGAGTACTATTAATAATCAATATTCATATATAATTTTATCAAAGACTAGAAATGGAACACTCAAAGTTGAAAATGATAGAAAAGGATCATTTATTTGTGATCAGGTCCCCATCATTAAGAAGGGTTATAGTTTTATGGCTATAAAAATTATCTTCCATGTGGTCATATGCTATTGGTTCTTTCATTCATCAACTTTGGCTACCAATTCATTAAAACTACGTTCAATTCAATCCCTTTCGATTTGGAATCGTTCTTGATGTATTTTGCTTCTATTTGTATTTTAAGTATCTATTTTTATAATTTTGATCAGGTTTAAGAAAAATTATAAAAAAAATCAACACCTTAATAAATGTTCATCTATACGTTATGCACATGTGCATAAAAGTAAATTGCCCGAGATGCACAAGTGCATATAGAAACCAGAAAATACTTTCAATTACTTATAGGGCAAATTGCATGAAAAAGTAACGTACTTTAACTTTATTCCTATTTTGGGTAATATACTTTCAAAACTTATATTTTGGTACCTAAGATGTAAAATTTTAAACATTTAAGTACCCGGATAAACGGTTGAAGCATTAACCAGTTATCATATTGATGTGTCGATTGATGTGGTATCCAACTCAATATTATTTGCTAACATGGTTAGTGGCATGATTTTTTTTTTAAATCTAAAATTACTCTTTTTTTTAATCTAAAATTAGTCTTCAATTGGTTATTCGGGTACTTAAATATTTAAAACTTTACATCTTAGGTACCAAAATAGAAGTTTTGAAAGTACGTTACCCAAAATAGGAATTAAGTTAAAGTACGTTATTTTTTCATGTAATTTGCCCTTTACTTATATGTACATGTGCATACCATAATGAACGATTATTAAGGTGTTCTTCGATTTTTCATATTTTTTGGGTTTTCCCCAGAACGTCACTAGCTAAACTATTTTAGAGATTTTGGAGATTAGGGGGGAAATTTGTTACAACAGCTATGCTGAACTTTGCTCTAAAATAGAGAGAAAAAGAAGACAGAATAGATAAGTTTCCAAATTTTAGAAAAGAGAAAAATATATAGCATAGATGTTGGAAATGTTCTAAAAAGTCGCTACAAAACTGAATGTTTTAGTATATCCAACCGCCCTTGAAATGGTTTTACAATAAATCATTAGGACAAAAATGATCCAACTAGCTAGTTTTATAGATAAAGTTGGACAACACTATAGGACACATAAATCAAACCGTCGTATTAACATTTTTATAAGATGTGTTATTCATAACTATTTAACTTTATAAAAAAAATTAAAAAAGCTAGAAGGACCACCTTAAAAGTGTCATATAACACTAATAAAATATTTACTTTTTTAATTCTATTAAATTGTTCAACTTCATTCATAGATATCTTACATGTTATGTTGTTAAATTATGTCATGTAAACTTATTATAACCTTATAATTTCATATAACATAAACTTGTTTGTTCTATAGAATAAGTTTTTCAAAGCCCCAAGAGGCAATGCCCATGGTAACCTCCATTATGTACTCTCATAGGGATAGGATGTCCGGTGACGGTTCGGCTTCATTAAAAAACCATCATGTTGTGGTAAGTCGTCGAATTGTTAATTATCACGGATGCGTTAATGCGTAACAACTTCTTCTTCATCTCTTAGAACATGGTTCCAAAGTTAACTTTTTTCTAATAAAGAGATGTTGAATTGTTAAGATACTAAGGGAAAGGATGGTTTGAGAAGTGGAGTTACAGTGAGAAGTGTAAGAAAAGATTTGAACCCTTGATTATTTTTAATCTCATTCTCATCAATGAATTGCGCTTTAGAAGAGAATTGATCCGGTCAATTAGGATTAATCTAAAGGTAGAGATCTTTTCTTATGCATCTTACTATAACTTCTATTATCACTAGAACCAACTCAAGATATAATACCATTTAACAATAATCATCTTTAGTATTGGCATAAACATTGCTTTGGTTAATGAGGTCTAATGTGTTTCAGCCAAGTACTCATCAAAGAAGCCAAAGAGTTCTGGAAAAAATCTATTTCTGGTCATCGGGATGCCGGTGATTGCAGCGGGGATTTTCCTTTCGACCTGCATTTGTTGTTACATAAAGAAGAAGAAGAACAAGAAGAAAGGTATGTTTCTCTTTATTTCAATCTCCATTAGTTGGTTCGTCTTTGGTTACACAAGAGTTCAACAAATTCCCTATTTAACATTCGTTAAACGGCTGGAAAAAATAATGGAAATCCCATCAAGAATATGTAGAATGAAGAACGTTGATAATAGTATAGTATGTTAGATTTGATTTCATTTTGCGCAAATCATGTTCAAGGTAAGGGAATGTTTGGTTGGTTTTCCGTCAAGTCTTTGTCTATGTGGGTTAATCTCTTTGTTTCCATGTTCAAGATTAGAATTTACGCCCCAAAGAAGAAGGAAACTAACAGATATGTATGAATACACTTAAATTGTTTTTGCTAATGCTTGATTGTTTGTTACAGCCAATCGAAGAGAACATGGAGTTGGGTTCAGTTTCACAGTTGATAGCTTAAAATCCCAGGATGGATCATTCATGGCGAAGGATATGGGCGAAAATGTTGATTTGCACGTGTTTGATCTGACGACAATAGTTGCAGCAACTCATAATTTCTCTCCTTCAAGCAAGCTTGGAGAAGGTGGATTTGGCTCAGTTTACAAGGTAATCTCTTGCTAGCTTAATTATGATCGATCATATATAAGCTTTGTATGAGTTTTGTTAAATTTCGTGTCAAAATCTTCAGGGAAAGTTAGCAAATGGACAAGAAATAGCCGTGAAACGATTATCACAAAGTTCAGGTCAAGGGATGCAAGAATTCAAGAATGAAGTCACATTGATAGCCAAACTTCAACACAGGAATCTCGTAAGGCTTTTCGGATATTGTTTTCATAGAGAAGAACAGATGTTAATCTACGAATACTTACCAAACAAAGGCTTGGATTCTTTCATTTTCGGTTCGTTTTCTAACCCCCCAAACTTCTCCTCATATCCTACTATTTTCTCAACCTGTGATATTTCCAACTGAATTGATTGTTTCCTATAGATCAAGAAAAAGGGCCTCTTTTAGATTGGAAAAAACGGTTTCAGATAATTCATGGAATCGTTCGTGGATTGTTGTATCTTCATCAGGATTCCAGGCTCAAGATCATCCACAGGGATCTGAAAGCAAGCAATGTTTTGCTAGATGCAGATTTAAACCCTAAGATTGCAGATTTTGGAATGGCAAAAATATTTGGAGGGGATCAAGACGAAGCTAAAACTCGTAGAGTTGTTGGAACATAGTATGTTTTAATGTTGATTAGCAGTTTTACACAACTCGTTTTTGTTAAATTTACATCTTGAATCAAACTAACAAGGATGCAATATATGTGATTGTAGTGGCTATATGTCTCCGGAGTATGCAATGGAAGGCCTTTTTTCAGTGAAATCCGATGTGTTTAGCTTTGGAATTCTACTTCTGGAGATCATCAGTGGCAGGAAAAACAATAGTTACTATCTCGAGAATGCGGTTAACTTGATCGGGCATGTAAGTAACTAACTTTAGGTTTCATCGATCGCTCTTGTTTTATGGATCGTCTATCCCTCCAAACAAAGTTCAACGACATCCTCATCGCGTTTTTCAGGCTTGGGACTTATGGAAACAAGATAAAGCATTGACATTAGTCGATTCATCGTTGGGAGATTCATTTGATGATCATGAAATTCTATTATGTATCCATGTCGGGATTCTGTGCGTCCAAGAATCTGCTGCTGATCGGCCAACAATGACAGACGTAGCATTTATGTTGAGTAATCGCGAAACAAAGCTTCCCTCTCCTAATCAACCCGCTTTTATATTCAGGCAATTGAATTACGGCACAGACTCAGCATCTGCATCGGCTAGTGGGGGAGTTAGGTCCGTCTATGATGAGAGTATCACCATCGTTCGAGCTCGATAATTTCAGAATCCCTTGAAATCGACCACTTTGTTCGTAAGTTGCACACAGACCAATTCGATGATCAAGGCTTGAACGTCGTGAATCAAGTTGTGCATTTTGTAAGAAGTTTCAGTAGATACTTTACCACAATATATGTATGTAATGAGTTTGCAACTTATTTTGATACATGCTTTGTTTAGTAAATGCAATAAAGTTCCCGTTAGAGGTGCTCAAAATACCTACAAGGCCACTAATCCAACCCCAAAAAACCTAAAAAAAACTCAAATCGAACTAACCTGACACATAGTTGATACAAAATTAGATCAATCCGCGTTTATTGGGTTGAAATTAGGTTAGATTTCTTTTGAACTCAACCCAACCCGATACACTTTTATGCTATATATTTAATATGATTTTTAAGTCCTTAATTAACATATATATATATATATATTAGACATTAGACCAATCCATAATTAGCTATATTTAAAATTATATTACAATATCAATGGTAATTTTATTTTCTTATTTAAAGGAACCATCAACTTTTTTTTTGAGTTTGTTAGTCTTTTTTGTATGTTATCATTTTGATTTTACTTCGTGTAAACAAAAATACTTAGCTAGATTGTAAAATAATATAGCAAAGTTTCAACTCGTCCAACTCAACCAACCCGCACGACTTAGGTTGGGTTGTTGTAGTTTTTCTTGAGTTAGGTTGGGTTGAGATTTTTCAAACCGCAAACAGTAGATTAGCTAGGTTGTTCAAACACACTCAACCCGAACAATCAAACTCATTTACAGCGCTAGCTACCACCATAATCACCATCTAAAATGTGGTAACATATAGTTTAGTTTGGTATATTATACTTTCGGATCAACATAAGCTAAATTATTGAAATGTTAGTTAGACTAGTGTTTTAAAAGTTTTTAGACACTTTTTTAATTATAACATTGATTAATATTAATTTTTATTTATTATTATTAATTATTAAATAATCCCTTTTATCTTATACGAAGTGTTTTTGTTTCTGTCTTTCAGTTTCAGCAATCATCACTGAGTCTGTTCAGTGAACGCTGAAGAACTTGTAATGTAAATCCATCAGCTACAGCTATACTTCAAAAAGACAAAACTCACACCAAAGAACCTTCAGCGAAAGTCGAAGACTGAAACTGAAGATTAGAGACTGGCGAGTATGTGATCTGAAGTAGTATTCAATGATTACAACCTGGTCTACATATTGATCGGAGTCTTAATCGCTCATATCAGAAGATAAGTTTCACTCATCAATCGATTTAGAACAGTGGTGACTGGACTTGTGACCGGATACGTACATCCCTTGACCGGATAATTGTCTGGATAGGCAAATCGATTGGTTGTGAGCGATTTAAGCAAGAGAGTTGAGCGGACTAGTGATCCGGTAAGCATCAATATCAATCGGATTCTAAATCGCTCAGGTTAGTGTATTCGAATCTCCTACTGTTTTTTCGTTTTATACAGTCAAATTTGGTGTAAATCGGCCAATACAATCTAAATCGCAGGTTTTCTCATTCATCTCAAGTCTAAACGTACAATTCACTGTCCAATTTTATCCAATTTGCTGTCAATCTTGTTCGATTTCACTTTGAGAGCATATCATCTTGATCTATTTATCTGATTTGAAGTTAATCTGATTTGAGTTTTATATCAGTGTAAATTGTTGGGTATTGTAAGCAGGTTTGATTGAAATTGCAGGTTAGGCAGTTTTATATCGAATGAGACTATTCTAATTTGTTGGCTTGATTTGGACAGATTGGTTAACAACATATTGCACAACTTTGTTACTATATCCAGACTTAGTTTCTTCTGTATCCATAAAACAGTTGAGTCAATATCTGTTTTTCATAAATCACTTGGAATCGTATTATTGTTTGATTTCCACTATATTAGTCACAGATGTCCATTTGCTTCATTTTCATTTGATTCTATTTGGGTTAAAGATTCATTGCTTTTAACTGTCATTTGTGAGCTTTTGATAGAGAAAGGGCTGGTCAGGTTGCTGTTTTTTAAAACGTAAGGTTTTGGACAGATTGTTCGAATAGAATCTGTTTGTGGTTCTGCTACTTGATGAAGCTGTTTAAGACAACAACAACTCTGTTCATCAATTTCTGTTTGTTCATTGCTAATTGAATCTATTTCTTGCTTCATCTAACAGAGAAGAGTAGAGGAATTACATTTGTTAGTTGTTGTGTGTTTGTGATTTTGTGAACTGGAACAGCAGCCCAGGTGGGACAAAGGGTCATCGAGAGAAGATAGCTTCATCAGATTTTTCGTACATTTTTAGTTTGGATTTGGTCTCTGTCTGTTTTAAATCGCTCAGGTAATCATCTTAATAGCTCAACTGGCACTTGTTTGTCTCTGTTCCTTGTAGACTTCATCTTCCTCACATATTGGTTTCTAGGACCGGGTTAGAGAGTTTGCTTACTGTCATAGAACTATAATGCCCAGATATCGCAAAGCTTGAGGTTTGCTTACTGTCTACATTGCAGAATCTGTTTTGAGTTCAATATTGAAACAGCAGCCTTGTTGATTTTGAAACAGTTGCCTGTTTTGAGTTCCATTGTTTAAACTGAGTGGTTTAGCTTGCTGTCATAACACAAGGGTTGTATATAGCTGTATAAATCATTTGTAGAGTTGGAATTTCATCTAACTGCAGCCTGGTAAAGCGTGTGTGAAAGGACTGTTTATCAGCTGTTCAAACTAGTCAACAAATTCTAAGGGCAGTTTGTAATTCTGCTACTTCATTCAGTTACTATTTTTGTCAATGTTGTTGATCTTAGTAATTTGTTTATGACTCTGGAGAATAGTTTGGTTTGTGTTGTGGGTTTTTGGCATGAACTCCTAAGTAACCGTTGTGGAGCATCTTAATAGAGAAACATGTTGTCTTATCTGTTTTAATTGTTCATTTGCAGTCACACGATCATCAGCATTAGCAGCAATTGACTTGCTTGTGGTTTCAGAAAAGAAGGTTTGAAGGCAGAAAAGAAAGGAAGGCCATAATATTGAAGGCTGTTTGTTTCAGATTTTCTGCTGAGAATCTTGCACCTGCAGCTGTAATATGATTAGATGTGTTTGAGTATTTGAAATTGAACTGCTCATAGTTACAATCTGAAATTCAGAAGAAGAGTGGACTTTGGTGTGCAGTTTTGATTAGTTCTTTGTAATCTTTGTAATTGGACTTGTTGTGTCTTTAGTCTTTGAGGTTTAGTTTTTGTTTAGATTCTAATTTTGGATCTTTTCGTTTATCTGTTTGTGTTTTAAACTGTTTGAGAATCTTTGAACTGTTTTTCTGTCGCGTAAACTGTTTTTCATCAGTTTAAATGTCTTTGACTGTTTTTAACAGTTTTCAACAGTTTTGACTGTTTTTACTGATTTTTGACAGTTTTTCGCCAATTTTCTGTATTCTCATCAGTTTTTGTGTTTTTCTGTTATTCCTTTTTTAGCTTAATCGTCTTTGATTTCTTTTATTGATTTCACTACATAGATCTTATAACTAATCAATCTATTTTTTCTAATGACAGATATTCTAAAGGAGATGAGAGAGAAAATTGCTGAACTGAAAAAGAGCATTGTGAATTATAAAGAGAAATACATAAGTATGTACACTGAGAATTATGCTAATGAGCAATATATCAAAGATTCAAAGAAATATCATAAACAAGAATGTGAAAGAATCGAGAAGGAATTTGAGTATAAAATTGAAAAACTCGAGAACACTCTCAGTTCTGTAAGAAAAGATAATGATGAGAATTTGAAGACTTGGAGTAAAACTAATAAAGATCTTYTCAATAAACTCAAAGAGGTTAGAAGTGCACTTTCAATTGAGACAAACTCTCTTGAGAGGAAAAATACAGAAATAGGGGATTTAACTGAGAAGTTTCATAAATCTGAAAGTGATCTGATTGAGCTAAGAAAACTTTTGAATTTAGAGAAAGAAAAGGTTTTGAAAGCGGAGAAGGATTAGAATATTGAAAAGAAAGTTTTAGAGAAAGAAAAGAATAAGATTATAGAGATTGAGAAAAGATTTGATTCTGAACGAAAATCCTTTGAGAATAAGATTAACTCTCTTGAGCTGAACGCAAAGATGCTGTTAAAGCAAATCTCGGATTTTGAGCAGCTTATCAYTTTGGAACGAGCCAAGAATGATAAAGAAAAGAAAGACATCTCCGAAGACTGTCAAAGTCAACTACAGAAATTGTCCGAAAGCATTGATCTAAAGCAAAAGGCTTTAGACGAAGAGAAAAAGCAATTTGCTCTTGAGAAAAGAAATACTTCAAAGAAGTATACAACAATTGCTAAARAGCTTGCAAATAAGAAAAAGTGGCTTGACATTGCCTCAGAGAATGAAAAGGGTAGCTCAAATGAAGAGAAACGAGAGTTAATAGATCAGAAAAGAAAGTTTGAAATGATACAGAAGGAGTTAGAAGGTAAACTCCTGGACACTTCAAAGAAATTGTCTGGTCTAAAGACATACCTTGAAACTGAATTGAACATGAGAACTGAACTGAAAAAGAAATATGATTTAGTTACTGGTTAAAGAGACCAGCTTTTACAAAAAGTCGAAGACTTTCCGTGTGCTAAAAGCCCAACTGGCTCTCAATCACAGTGTAAAACCAGCTTTTATAATTGTTCCTATTCGAACAGTTATTCAAGTAGTCCTAAATCTAATGTTTCTAAGAACTATTCTCGTTCTAATCAGTAATATAAAGGGTATGTCATTGGATCACCAATTACTCTTCAAAGATTAAAAGCATTTGGGTTAACAAGTCTGAATCTGTTTTATCTCATACACCTGTTATTACTAACAATCTTCCTTGCATTGTGAGATCCACTAATGATCTGATCAATCTTAGCAAGAGAAGGATTATGTACTCAACATGCAGRACCAATAATTKTGTCAATAACAAAARGTTCAACARGTGGCATGGAGATAACAGTTATCAGAACAACTGGAAAGGTAAGAACAGGTATGATCAAAATTTCTGGTACGGTTCATATTTTATTCCTGATCATCCTGTTAATAGTGCCGAAAAGAAAATACCTTATAGAAATAAATGGTTTGGTAATTACAACATACCTCAACCAGATACTAACAAAATAGGACCCAAGTTCGTTTGGGTACCAAAAACTACTTAATCTGGTTTTGCAGGTGTGTCAAGTTTGTGCTGATCAGAATATCATTTCAAT